CAATAATTATATTAGGTGTTCCATTTGGTATTAACGAGTAATCAGATGTCGACATTCACAAATTTAAGAATTCAGAACAACAAGTACAATACAGTAAACCTTCTGTGTAGGCCAACATTCTACGCAAATACTAATATGAAATTGCAATACGTCACGAATCACTTGTCATGAATATAGGGAAAGTGTCTTTGCACAGATTCAAACTGGTCAGACTGGTGATGTAATATTATTATTACCTTGCATTACAAGTGGAATATAGGGCTTCAACAACACATCTCCACTTTGTTCTGTTTTCTGACGTCCTCTTCAGGTGGGTCCACGATTACCGACAATCTCTCATCTTATCCTCCTCGTCACACGATCTCCTCCATGTCACTGTCACATCGACGGCCCACCCGTTGCTTTCCTTGCGATTCTTGTCGAGCTATCGCCTGGTGTGCGATATTATTTCTTTCTCCTACACTTCCTCCTACATATTTGTTGAGCAATCGGCTATTTCTTGGTTGTTTGCTAGCCATAGTTTCCTGCTATAAGTATAAAACATGGGCACTGTGGTAGAGTATAATTCCATTATAGATAAGATTTTATTTTGATAAATCGCACAGTGTTTATAGTTATATGAACTGATGACGTTTCGAGCACAAACTATTGCTCATAATCATATCAAGTTACTCACACAACTTTGATCTCTCATTTATATACATATGTGGAATGGATTAGATATTGGATTAAAAATCAATGTGAGATAATGTACATTCAGAAATAATCGTACGAGTGTTGTTGATCAATTGCAATTAGATAGGAAAATTGGACGAGTGTTTTTACAGTCATAATAAGCTGCTTGTTAGAATGTGGTTGAATTGAAATAGAATTTTAAGATTATTTATTATCTTCTTCTGGTTTGACTGATGGCATTAATACGAGTGTTATTGATCTACTATAATCAGATGGAAGATACGACGAGTGTTTTAATAGTCATAATAAGTTTTTTGTTAGGATGTTGTGATGTACTTGAATTGAAATAGAATTTTAATATTATTTATTACCCTCTTCTGATTTGACCTGCGGTAATAATATCTCACATCTACCATCTTTAAGTTCCAAGGCAAAATATATAAACAAACAGAAGGTGTAGCAATGGGATCACCAATATCCCCTATTGTAGCAGACATATTTATGGACAGCTGGGAAAGTAGTGCTCTTAATACGTTTAACCCCACTCCAAAAATATGGTGGAGATATGTGGATGACACTTTCACGGTGTTAAAAACAGAACATATCTCTAGCTTCCTGACACATATAAACTCACAAGTAGAAGGAATTAAATTCACATTTGAATCAGAAAATGAACTAGGAGAATTAGCTATGTTAGATTGTAAAATAAAACGAATAGAAGAAGGCAAACTACACACTAGTGTTTATAGAAAACCAACGCATTCTAATAGATATTTAGACTTTAATTCGTCTCATCCGTTAACTGTTAAGGCAGGCTTAGTAAAGTGTCTAACAAATCGAGCCATAGCACTAAGTAGCACAAAAAAAGACCTAAATGATGAAATAAAACAGATAGAAGAAGCGTTGGTGTTGAATAACTATCCTATAAAATTCATTAGGAAGATCACCAAAAACCAAAAGCAAAATAAAAATAATGGTGAAACTATTAATGATAACACAAATAAGAAAGAATATAAGTCATCCACAGTTATACCATATAAAGAGGGGACATCTGAGGCCCTACGTAGGATTCTTAATAAAGCAGGAATTAGGGTGGCATTCAAACCTACAAACTCACTCAGAGACAAGCTCTGTAGGCTAAAAGACCCGGTGGATCCAATTAAACAAAATAATATAATTTACAAAATACCCTGCAATAACTGTGAGGTCAACTACATAGGTCAAACTAGTAGGTCAGGGATAGTCAGATTAACAGAACATAAGAATTTAGCTAAGGTAAGAATGGTTGACCCTAAAAAGATAAGTAATTTAGAAAAAAGCTCAGCTATTGCACTTCATGCAATAACAAACAACCACACAATAGGGTGGGATAGGGTTAAAATTCTAAAAAGTAATATAGCTAAGTGGAGAGAGAGGTTGATTACGGAATCCTTATTTATCGAGTCCACACCCAACACATGCAACAAAAATGACTCAATGCAAATACCAGAGATATGGAAGATATTATTACCGCAGGTCAAATCAGAAGAGGGTAATAAATAATCTTAAAATTCTATTTCAATTCAACCACATTCTAACAAGCAGCTTATTATGACTGTAAAAACACTCGTCCAATTTTCCCATCTAATTGCAATTGATCAACAACACTCGTACGATTATTTCTGAATGTACATTATCTCACATTGATTTTTAATCCAATATCTAATCCATTCCACATATGTATATAAATGAGAGATCAAAGTTGTGTGAGTAACTTGATATGATTATGAGCAATAGTTTGTGCTCGAAACGTCATCAGTTCATATAACTATAAACACTGTGCGATTTATCAAAATAAAATCTTATCTATAATGGAATAGTTTCCTGCTGCTTATTCTTTCTGGCAGGGCATTTGTTCTTCAGTATAGAGTCAGCCAGCGTAGAGGGCGGTTGTTGATAAAAGTCTACACTAGACTGCTTAAAATGCTTTTTGTGACACGCAGTGCAGGTGTCTCAGTCGAACAGAAGTACCGACATGACACTGGTGTTGATCAGAATCCGAATTTTGTTCCTTATGCGGCTGAGTTCGGAAGATTTCCAAATTGGTTTCAGATTGATGAAGGTGTATCCCGCCTTTCCGATTCTGCCTGATTTTGATGTTTTCGTCCGTTCTGAATTCCTGTAGTTGAAACAATGCTTCCTAGATAAGCGAAAGAGGTAACCGCTGTTTAGTCACTCTCCTTGATTGTGATTGGTGCTGATTGTTGTCACTGTCGATTGATTATTCGCATCACCTCCGTCTTCCCTGTGTTCACCTGCAGTCCTGTCGTCGCTGATGGTCAGCTTCTTCAGCCAGTTTGTTGGTTTCCACTTGCAAATCTTAGAGTTTATGTGACATTAGATCTTATAGAGTCTTGTCATCAGTCATCCAGTGTATTCCTGACTTCTCCTCTCCATTCAGTAGTCCGACGCATAATGCAGTCTACCACAATTAAGAATATCATCGATGGCGATAATAGGCAGGCAGCCAGCTTGTCTTACTCCTGTATGCACTTCGAACCCCTCGCTGAGTTTTTCGTTGTGGCCGGCAGTAAATGGGTGAAACGACTACCCGAGTTTTATCACCTTGGTCCGGCTAGCGAATTGCAGTGGCTGATCGGAGCTGACGCATACAGAATCATGCTTACCATTGTGCATATCATCCAGATTACGATTAATGGCACCATACAGACCCACTTCTGGGATTAATAATAATTTCGAGGTCTAAACAAGCTGAAGATGTTAAAGTCAGAATCCGAAAAGCAACACAGACTTTCGTCGACATGAAACTGGTCTGGAAGTTTACTGGAGTGTTTCAGCCTAAAGAAAAAAATTCGAATTCTGTTCTATACAAATATGGAGTCAGTCGGTTCTTCTACACGGATCAGACAATTGTACTGCGTGTTACGGAAAGGATATCCAACAAGTTACAGAACTTTATGAACAGCTGCCACCCACGCTGGCTGGCTGGCTCCATACGGAATACCAAATGGCCAGCCGACTGGCCAGAAAGAATTATCAACAAGAAACTCCGGCCTTTGATGAACCAACCAGCAGCCGTTTGCTCAAAAAATGTGTTGGAGGAAATGAGGATGGATCAGGCATACACTGAGGAAGCCATCTTATCATATCGAGTGGTAACCAGGCCATCGCTTGAATGAAATCCCAATGGGGAACGACGAGTGACTCGTCAGTTTGAGGCTGACATTATGTAGCTTAACCTCCTAATGCATAAATATCAAATGGAATGTTAATCTGAAATTTTCGAATTTGATTCGATGCTGAATTCGATTTTCTCCCGTCAGCCTCTGTCAACCTACTAATTTGTTTATTAGATATATCACACACACAGAGTGAAACAGTTTTATTTACTGGATTACAAAGTTTCCAACACAGTTTACCATTAATTGTCATATCAGTCATGATAATCGATATGATTATGAACAATGATGAATTGTGTTCGAAACTCCGTAAATCATACTGTTTCACTGTATGTGTGTGTTATATCTCTAATAAACAAATAATTGCGGAATTACATGCTACCATAGTGCCCAAATTTCACACGTATATTCACTGTCCGCCTACAATTGAGTGTGTGTGGACAGTTTATCTGTGCATGTGAATGTGGTTGTTTCACTTCTCAGTAAGATACCGAGCAATTTCGGAACACCTGAACCTCACATGAGGATCCAAGATCCGCCTAATAAATAAATATGTCCTTATTAGCTCTAGGCACGCCAAACACTGTTAGCCAATAGCAGAGATGTATATTATTAGGTTAACGAAGAACTAATGTGACCCTGAAATTCAATTTCATAATGACGATTATTTGGACCGAATTATTCAGCTTCTGCTTACTTAAGAAGTGATTCAACGATGACGTAATCCTTCTCACAAGTTTAAGAAACACCTTGATTCCCTGATGATGGATACAGTTGAATCGAGAGAGCAGGTTTTCTGCGCTCTTGCAAAATTGAAATATACCAGCTGAACATTAATGTGGGACTAGATTTCATCTAGCAATCATGTCCACGACTACTCCCGATTTCATACAAATCGATTTATTTCACTCAGTTACTCAACTAGATGAAAGTCACAATTGATGCGCCACGAATCTATGGTTACTTCGAATCTCCATTTCAGTGAAATCGCCAACCCGAAAGACGGGTAAAATGCATCAGAAAATTTACAACATACTAAATTATGCACCTAGTTGTCAATTACAGTTATGAATATGCTCCTAAATCAATTTGAAATCTACTGTGTTAACTGACTTGATAAATATAAATGAAATACCCGTGACTTACAGTAACATTCGACAGTGAAACTCTTTCATTCTCCGTGAAAAGTCCTTAATATCGCCTGGATCCATAGACCAAAGACGTTCAGCAGCCACAGCAGTTATTGGCCTTGACATGTTGTCAACATAATTACCCGGTTGATATGAAAGTGAAATGAAATGCCGTTTTATAATACATGTCAGCGATGTGGAATGCTCGATTCTTTGTATGGTAAATTAGCGTATATGTATGTTTTAACCTCGTGTTGTTTGAATGGTTCACCTTGTTTCTGGATAATTCCGCGATAATCGAGTCATATAGGCAGACAGATTTCCTTATCAAGCAGAGTGAAGTATGTTCTGGTGCCTTGAAGCACTGGGTTATGCAATGCTGCAATCAATGAACTAGAAACTGCCTGAGGCTTTTATTGGCAATGTGTAATCTCGGAGTTAAAGATACACCTAACTCTGAACTCTTCAGAGACACAACGTAGTTCTACATACTTGTGATTGCGTGATCTGAGTATTTGCATACCAGTCACTTCAATGAACTGGCTCACTAATCTGCACTCAGTTGAACTGATCCATCTTTGACGCCTTCATTTCCGAACGAGCGAACGCGCCTATCCACCATTTAAATCATATCGATTCCGCTAAAAACTAAAACTGCTTAATTTGAGTTGTAATCATCTAGAAACCACCCTACACTCATGTTTGCTATCAAGACATTGGTGTGTGATGTCCGGCGGCTCCCACAGAGTGTTGTCTGAATAATTTGGCTTCCTGAAGGGAAGTTTCAGTGAAATTTTACCATAAACTGAGTTAAAACTCAAAATCACGAGTTCCTTTGGTGCTCATTGTGAAAGTGACATCAACTAATTGGAAAACAGAAGGATTCAGCGAAGAAATATTCACTTTTCAATTAGATCCTTATCTCACTCACTCTGACTTTACTCTCGTTTAAATGTATAGCGTTTTAATCACAGTACACAACAATTCACAATCCAGTGGCACTGATATGTTTGATAACAATAATTAGTCAGTCAGCGTAAATAAGTCAAGGTGACGGGTGATAATTAACGAAGAAAATTGATACACACAATGAGAAGGTAGAAATGGTTGCAACACGTTGACTGCATAATGCATTATTTTGGAAAAATGAAGAGTAATTAATGAATAAGCGTGTGCACAGATGAAGCAGTCAGAAAAGTAATAAAATAATTTGGATACTCATATTTGTCCATTCCTACCTACCTTAATTTCGCTTTACGAGTTTGTCTGCAACACACAACACCTGAAGCAATAAGAATACACATGAAGAAGCTAAACCTCTGTTTTAAGAAACGACTTTCCCCACTTAGGCCATCGTTACGCGAATTGTATAAACCGGACAGTGTAAAATTCTTAACTACACAACATGACATCTGAAACTCATTTTGGTAGCCACCTGTATGAACCCCTTATATTGTTCGAATTAAAACTAATTCATGTGGTTATACTGTGGTGAGAGCTGGCTGCAAACCGAAATTGTAGACAACAATTTACGTCAATGTTACGTCCTGAATCACGGCCATGTGGAAAACATTAACAAAGCATAACCTTGAGAAATTCACCAACTAATCATAGCAGACTTAACCTGTGAAAATACAATTTTCAGATATATGGCTTAACTTTCTAAGAAACCGTCATGAGCAGTAGAGAATAAACTTCAGCAAGAAAACAGCCAATCAGAAGACGTTGCTTCTTCACTGACAATAATGTACATTAAAATCCACAAATATCTCTTGATTTTCTCAATAAACGATCTGTTGCCTGGCCCTTGTCACCTGTCGTTACATTACTATACTGTCAATTTTGTGCGCTTTAACTCAAGCTGCGTAACTCTGTGGAAAAAGCACACGAATGTCATTTCTACACTTTTGTTGTTTGCGTGTATACCATGTGAAGAATAAAGACAGAATTTAGTGAGTTTCGAATCGGTTCCAGGTGAAATCTCTTCACAGTCCGCCATTTTCATCATATTCAGTTATGTGTAGCTATTCACTTCATTCCTGTCTATTTTGAAACTCTTCCCGTCATCTTTAATTTGAAGGTGTGTCCGATAAACACCTGATGAGGAAACAACAAAAGAAGTGGATCTGCCCATCTAGACACGTTTAACAGACATTTTCGACATGATTTTCTTATTCGTAAATTATCTTTAGAAAGTTCGCTCTTTCGATGTAGAATGCGGCAGAACATCCACTGTATTATGTTCCTCCTTAGTATAATACAGTGGTGTCATAGAAATCACAGATTTTCATTGGACACTCACAAAATATACAATCTCATAAAACAATTATGTTGAACTTTGAAGTGAAATTCAATACCTATTCAATTTCCAGTCAACCTTGATACTTGAAAATCTGTTGAGCTAATCGACTACATATTGATCGTCAATTGCTTACCATGATCGTAAGAAGAGATTAGTGTCATCCACATAAGTTCCCCAAATAATGACTTCCCCACCAATAACCAACTGAGCTTCTTCATCAGTACCTGTTGACGATGCGAAGAAAACAGTAATTCATCAGTGTTACTGCAAAAATATAGTGAAGACGCTTTAGCACAATGATTGTAAATATTTTCAATTCTATTTTACTGTGAGGATGTGGAATGCTGTCGGTGTTCAGACACCTGTATATTTCACTCGTCTCCATTCTGACCTAATCCAGATATCCTAAGTTAGTGAATTCCAGGAAATCTCATGGGGAATGTCAGACAGAATAGTGGTGTCTGAATTATTCTTTATTCCACATTTTGATCATTACTCTGGAATATCGCCTGAATCGCCTCAGTCATATGTACACAGTTCAATGTACTAACAGTTTCTTCCGTCTGTAGTTGACAACGGTCAAGTGTATAATCGAAGTTAAACATCTTGAAATAATAAAGAATATTTTTACTCAGATTGATGATTTGCAATTGGTTGTCTTTTCTGGGCTGGTTGGTTTATTTGTGGGGCTTTCATCATCCACCTTCTGGACAACATCCACTTTCAGCATAAAATGAACTGATTTAAATTCTCCATGAATGATAGAATTGTGTCTCCTTCCAACCATCTTCATGAATGGTAGTCAATTTACATCTGTATTGATCATTTTATTGGCGTGGATTTTGAAATTTCTCATCAGGTGTTTCGCTTTTTATAAATTGGTAAATTTGATCTATGTTAAAATATGTTTGCTGATTGCTGATTCACTTGATTACCAGACCTCTGGAATTCTCTGGTAGTATTTTCGGTGTTTCCTCTTAATGAAATTGTGGGGATATCCATTCTTTTTGAAGACCGCTAGTAGGTATTTTTCTTCCATTCACTTTAACACCGGAGCAGTGCTAAAGTGTGTTTGTGTGTGTGTGTGTGTGTGTGTGTGTGTGTGTGTAACCAGGAGGTTCTGGTTCGAATCGCGGTGGGTGCGTACAGCTGTCCAGTACTCCCAGCTGGTTTTCCGGTGGTTCTCTAACTGATGTCAGCTCATGGTGAAATCCTCTATGCAATCAAACAAAATCCCTACAAAAGCAATACTCGTACTTGAACTCTTTTAAACAATGTCTACACACAGTTTCTTTTGTGGGTAATTGGTTTATTACTACAGTAGTTGAGTATTTGGTATGTGTGTTGGCGTTGATTTTCGATATACTCGTGCTAAAACTTTCTCTGAAATGGAATGATGTCCAGAAGGACGACGAAAGCCCCACAATTAAACCGACCAGCTCAGAGGACACAACTAATTGCAAGGCCTAACATCTGATTTTTTACAAGCCTCGATACCAAAATATTATACAGCAGCCATCAACTCTCCATCATTAATTTTTCACGGAATTCACAATTTATTCAAAAATAACGTCAAAATTACCTTCAAAAGCAGCAGGATCACAGTCGTTCAGCGTCTTCTATGCATCATCGGAATTCCTAACAACTTTTGACCAAGACGCTGAATTGATCACTCTGTATCCAGATGATGTGGCTGACTTGGTGATAGCTTCCCAGTTGGAATTATTGTGTACTTGTTTGATGACAGCATTGTCATTACCCTAGTAATGTAAAATGTAAAGTATTAACACTATTTAGATGATCAGATGTGTGAGATTGGTATTTCGGAATTCATATATCTCTGTATCAACAGAGTTCATTCAAAACTTCGTTGTAGTGCCTGTCGCCTCATTTCTTCTCTTTACTGGCATTTTCTGATCAATTATTACTGGTTTCATTTATGTTCATTTACATACTACTCGTCACAATAAAGTAGTACAAGTTCAAACTATTTATAATTTACTTCCATCACGCGACAAGAATTAGTCGGTGGAACAGTGGTTAAAACTCTCGCCGACCATGCACATGGTCTCAGGTTCGATCCCCTGTCAACGCACACCTGATATCTATGGTCGGCCTGCAAAATTTAGCCTACCGATATCCATGCTGAAAATTCCATACCTGTACCAAAAATACAGTGTGGAATCAAGCTGTAAATCAAAAACAAATTCCCATATTTTACCATACGTCCTTGTGAATGTCTATATTTGACCATTTGTAATCAATTTTACCCAGCCCTGTACAGCTACGCGTTTTTATTTCTAACTGACCCAGCGGCGAATTTTACACAGCCCTGCTATTTTCTATTTCCTACATTGTCACAGCGCTTTGACGGAATTTAACCTGCACACCTCACAATTCAAGTTTTTGAGGCTGTGTTCGTCTACTCATCTGTAATATGGTAGAAAGTTAAGCGAGAGCTAAACAAGGGGAACAGACGCAACAATGAATTCGCAAAAACTAACATTTCTAAGAAGGGGAGTTTTAGTGCCTAACTCAACACTAACTCCAATCTACAGCTAACCAACCCTTATGCTGCCTAACCCTAACCTATGCCTAACGTAGTTCAGGCATAACATATCCCTCTAACGAAAGGTTAAATAAAGCTGTTGTCATGTTTCAGAATTTCACACTACCCTAGTGAATTCCTTATTTCTATGACGTCACTTACCTGAGTTCACTCATTTCCTGTGGTTGCCTGTCTTAATTCGCATTGGTGCATTTTTTATCCAACCATTCCTTCTCTAGGCGAATACATGTAAGTCAGACATTTCCTTTATTAACCAAAAGTTCAATTGTCTCTTATAGCTTTGGATCTCTTAGAAGAAATCCACACTTTTTAGTTATCACAACTGGTAAATCACTACACTACCTCATGTATATGTTGAATCAAGTGATTTGAGATACAACAGACAGGTGTGGGTGTTTGGATACTTAAACTGATACACTTCCACATCGTAAGACGCTAGACACAGATCCAGTACACGATGTTGATGATAATTATTATTTTTATTGTTATTATTGCTACCTTGGGTTCCTAGTGGAACATAGGGCTTCAACTGCACGTCTCCAATTGCTTCTGTCTTCTGTTGCTGTACTTTTCACCTGCATCCATGTTATTCCACACTGTTTCAACTCACCTCTTCACACGATCTCCTCCATGTCACCCTTGCACTGACGTCCCACTCGCCAGTTCCCTTTCGGCCTGGTTCCACTCGAGGGCCGGATGCGCGCGCGATGTCGCCCAGCGATCTCCTCAAGGAGTGTCCAATCCATCTCCACCCACTTCCTCCTGCATATTCGTTGGTTGGCGATTGGTTCTTGTTTTGTTTGTTCGTTCCCATAGTTCCTCGTTGGCGATTCTTTCCGGCATGGCCATCTGATCTTCAGTATAGAACGAGGACAGTTGTTGTTGATAAAGATCTGCAATAACCTGTTGGAAATAATCTTTGTGACCCACCCGCCGAGTTTCTAATCCGTATAGAAGAACTGACTGATTTGACGTTTGTTTGTATTGAAAATCCGACGGAATTTTGTTGTTGATGCTGAGTGACGAAGATTTCCAGATTGGTTTCAGGATGATGAATTTGTTTCTCGCTTGCCTTCCCGATTCTCGATTTGACATCCTCATCCGTCCCTCTGTAGTTGAGACAATGCTCAATGCCAGATAAGTGAATGAAGTAACCTCTTTCAAATCCCTCCCGTTAATGGTGATTGGCGCTGGATGTTGCTGCTGTTGTTGTTGTTGTTGGTTGGTTGGTTATTTTCATAACCTCCGTCTTGTATATGTTCACCTGTAGCGATTTGATTGTTTTACGGGGGTGAAGTTTGCTAGCACCACACCCCAACCCTCCCTCTTTATCCGGCTTGGGACCGACAAGAAAACTAGCGAGCTGGTAATCTAGGGGAGGTTGTTGATGATAATATAGTGATCTATTTATGTTATATTACCCCCAATTCCGCGTATCTCAAAATAATCAGTAACACAAGGTTTATATTCCTAATATTTGTGAAGACTTAACTCTCACTGACTGTCCCTTTTTCAAACTTTCAGCGAATGTAATATGTATCCAGGTGACGGTAGTACTTTGTTGAGACAGTGAAAGTTCTCTTCCACTGGCCATCTTCTTTCCCATGTCGCCCGCCGGTGACGTTGTTTTCTGTGGTTGTTGTAATAATTGACGTTAAAATGTAGGATTAGTTTGTGATGGCTGCCAGTCTATGACCGATCGGATCAGTCACTTCCTGTGAAGCGGTCGACAGGTGCGAAATAGCTGAGGTTAATCTCAGGATGGTGCTTTCATATACTGGATAACGAATGGTACGTCATTTTGTGTCACATTGAAGTCGATCATTTGAAGTGTTAAGATTTATGATAATAAATCGAATAAGTTTTAGCGTGTCCGGATTGTAGCAAGGTGAGTTTTATCCTCACGAAACTACTTCTCAACATTTTTCACGTTTGTTTCTACACAACAATTAAGTGGACAGACAAACATATACAAATACCTCTTAACTGACATGAGTATTCAGTTGAGTCAATGGAATGACATGAATATTTCCACACGTTCACTTATAAATTCTCTGCTTGTTTCAGTGTATTGTAATCATACTCTGGATGGCAGTGTGTATATTCATACAAATTGCACTCCTGGTCACTTCCAGTCACATTCAGTCAAACTTGTAAATTGAGCAATGTTCACTTCAAGATGAAGAAATTACAGAGAGAAAATTTGTATTTCTTACACCACTCAACTTCCGAAGTCTACCATTTGTTGACTCACAATTCACTTGAATCAGTGATCCCACGTAGGATGAACAGTATGTAACATTTTGGAAAGGCCTAAATGCAAATCGATGTGACTAGAACGATGAGCCAGGATGAGGATGAATAGAAAAAGCTGATAAATTGATGAAGTTCCTCTGATGCATTTTCGAGATGGTACATTTATGAACCATTATGTGATGAGATATCTGCTAATATCCTTCTTCTGTTCATTGTAATTATGATCTACATTGAAATTCACATACTCAAAATATTCCAAATTAAAACTGAATTTCTGAATTGGTTACTTAGGTGAGAATAAAACTGCTTCAAGTTATGAACAGTAATCGTAAACTGAGGGATACTTACTCGGAATCCATTCTCAAATACATTCTGCCATACCACCGGTGTCATGCTTTGTGACGCTGAAGTAATATTCTGAATAACTTCTGTGAGGCGTTCAAAATAATAATTTTCTAATTTATTGTAGTCTTGATTGAATCCTTTCTCTTTCATGAATTCTTGGATGTTGGCGTCTTCTTGCCTACATACACAACAGAACAACATGTTTCTTGTTAGAAATGCAAGTAGCCCTTCTACAAATTGAGTCTACTGACATTCTTTTATGAATAGATTGCTAGAGTGACAGACTTAGTGGAATTCGAATGTTTCGGCTGTCTAATGGTGAAAGAATGAAGCTGCTTCTTGTCTTTTAATATAAAAATACACCAGAATAAAAAGTTGATCAAGCATTTCAAAGTTCGCAGGTGACAAAGTAAAGGGAAACACATATCTGACGCCTCAATAGGCATGGATGAATGCCCAACTACCATTATTACTTTCTATGAAATATGAATTGAACTCAAAATATTAATTAATAATAGGGCGGAATTTAGTCACGATGGTAAAGTATAATGCCATACCAGACAATTTGACTCGATACAATACTCAGTATGAATCAATGGTTGACGATGTTTTGAAAACAATTTGTTTGTCTGTGTTATTAACATTGACATTTCATTGACTATTGTGATCCAGTTGCATGCTGTTCAGGCAATTATTGCAACAATACGATCAGATGTATTCCTGATATCGATTTATTGACTCTGAAGCTGCAGCATTTGACCCAGTAAGATTTTGAAGCTTTAACTGTTGGCACTGTAGCTCTTCGCGCTGTAACTGTCTTTTCGCCCAGATTAATTGACAGCGGAACAATAAACAATCTTCTAATCGCCAATTCATTTTCTGACATTTTTGAGTTGGTTCACTTCATAGTTTTCTGAATGCATCCACTGTCCTTCAGCGAACAGCAACATCCTCAGGATCCGAGGGTTAAGAGTCTTTAAAGCCGGTTCATTTACATTGTTCCTTATCAAAATCTTATCAGTGCATTCATACAGTTTGACAACTTCCGTTTTGTAGGTATACTCCCTGGTATTATAGGTTTCCAGACCGTAGGTGTTACGAACTTCCTGGAATAATTTGAGCACCGAGTCAGATTGATTCATTATAAATTATTCAAATTAATCCCAGCGTGTTAAGAAAATCAAAACAAGATTTTTCTGAACGTTTCACCGTGTAAGCCACAGCTTCTTCAGCAGATTTATTCGGATTATAATTAATCATCAAAATATATAGTCAAACGTTTTTACATAAAATGAAGTCAGTTTGAAGGTCATTTTTTATACCAATAGAAGTATGTAAGCTGTCCTCATACATTTGTATCAGTTATACGACAATGCTGCATGCCAAGTAATCCACAACGGGAAACTTACGGAAGCCTTTGAAGTGAAGACGGGAGTGAGACAAGGCTGTCTACTATCGCCAATGATCTTCCTGATTGCAGTAGATTGGATAATGCGACAGACAACGACAACCAAAGAGGGAACAGGCACAAATACCGTTTGGAATAAAGCTGTTATTATTATTATATAAAATGGACTCACACAAAAAACTTGGAGGATCTGGACTTCGCCGATGATATATGTCTGATTTCCCACAAACTGGAAGATATGCAAGTGAAAAGCAACAAGCTGGCAGAAGAAGCATCCAGGGAAGATAGGACTTCAAGTGAACATAGATAAAACAGAGGTGATGAAGATTCTTGGCCAACACCAACAGCCACAGCAACAACAACAGACGACAGTCAGCCAGCATAAATGGGAGAAACCTGAAAGAAACAGCCTCCTTCACCTACCTGGGAAGCATCGTTCCAACTACAGGTGGAAGTGACGACGATATCACAGCCAGAATCGACAAAGCAAGACAAGCTTTCATTACTCTCAAATCTGTGTGGAGGTCAACAGGACTCACCATCAAAAATAAGATCCGGATTTTCAACTCCAATGTAAAGTCAGTACCAGTTACTATCCGGATCAGAGACTTGGCGAGTCATAAAGAGCATCTCAAACAAACTTCAGACCTTCATTAACAGCTGTCTTCGATCAATACTCAAGATCAGATGGCCAGAAAAGATCAGCAACAGGGATCTCGGGGAGTGAACCAACCAAGAACCGATTGTGAAACAAATAGGCAGGAAGAAATGGAGATGGATTGGCCATGCTCTGAGAAAACTATCAAGTGACATCACTAGACAAGCCATTACTCGAGTGGAACCCGAAAGGGAAGCGGCGAGTCGGTCATCCAAGGGTGACCTGGAGGACGTTATGCGAGGAAGAGATGAAAGCATGTGACAGATCTGGAGCGGGGTCAAAAAGTTGTCAGAAAACGGAAGGCAATGGAGGTGCGCAGCTGAAGCCTTATGTTCCTCTATGAACTAAAGGATACTATAATATAATAATAATGTCAAATTGTTGTTGTGTTTTACTCTCTTATAGTTGATGTGTAAAGATTAGATTTGTATGCGTGTGTGTGTATGCGTGTGTGTGAAGTGTATGTTATTTGTCATATGGAAAATACGTGAATTCATATGTGATAAACGTGTCACTACATGTTTTAAAGGTCATGGAGGCTCATAGAGTGTTTGTTGTTTTTTCATTTGTCTTGCTTCATAAGAGTTTGCCATATAGGTAGGTGATAAGTCTAACCCTTCTGCCCTTCCTATTCACTGCATTCGATGTGGTTAAAATGTGCAAGGCTTACGAAGTCAATCTTTCTTTATTTGGACATTGTCGAGATCAAATCTATATCCGCTTTCCATACACAGAATGCATTGCTATAGCCGAATTTTTTTCTAGGCTTTTTAATTCTACTTCATTTCTAGGTGGACGTTTCGTGCAAAGTCTATGTTCATTCACTCTGGCCTTCGTGTGCTTACTTCTTTACCCTATATAGCATGCATCACATTCTAAACACTTTACCCTGTAGACACAATTACTTTGAGACATTTTGGGAACTATATCTTTGACATGCACTAAAGCTTTCTCTAGAGAATTAGAAGGTTTGACATAGACTTTAATATTATATGCAGCAAATAGTCTTTGAAGTTGTTCAGATCTGTCTTTTCGATATGGAATGGCTATCGTCGATAGCCAGGATTTTTGAACTTTTTGTTTTTCTTTATGCTCCTTTCCATTGATGATATTATCTAGTAGCTTTTCAGGATAACCATTTCCAATCAAAATCTGTTTTATATTGGTTATCTCGTTCTCCATATCGTCATCTCCATGTGTTATAATGTTTCTAGCTCTGTTAAAGAGATTTAAAGCTACTGAGACTTTCATTCCTATTGGATGATCTGATTGGAAATTCAAATACTTATTGGAATGTGTCGGCTTTCTGTATATGGTAAACTTTACTTTTTCGTCAATTTGTCTTTTTACAAGACAATCAAGAAAGTTTAGAGTACCCTCCGCCGATTCTATTTCATTAGTAAACTCAATATATTCTGAGATTAAGTGAATTTCTGTTAAAAATTCTTCTTTTTCAGCTTTCTTTATGATAATAAATATGTCATCTACGTATCTGTACCATATTCTAGGATGACAGCTAAGACTTGTCAATGCTTTCTTTTCTAAGGCTTTCATATATAAGTTTGCTACAATTGGAGATGCTGGTGAACCCATTCCAACTCCATTTGTTTGACAGTATAGTTTGTCTTTAAATGTAAAATATGTTGATTCCAAACAAAGTTTTAAAACACTTTATAATACATGTGAGAATATCTCCTCAAACGGTTAGCTGTGAACAGTGACGCCTTGTAAATGTAGAGAAGTTGAACAATGCATGTGAGAATATCTCCTCAAACGGTTAGCTGTGAACAATGACGCCTTGTAAATGTAGAGAAGTTGAACAATGCATGTGAGATGGAAAGGAAGGATTATTGGAAACGCAAACATAGAAACTTTGCAGTCATATTCCTCTTCTTCACATGGCAAAGAAGCGGAATCGCATTGAATTCCTTAGAAGAAATTATACAGGTGTATACAAATATATATGAAACTAACTACTTTTAAAAATGTCAGTACATTCACCATGAATGCCTGTCATAAATGCTCCCACCTAAATGCAAGACACTTTCAGGAAACACACTCAATACTTCGCTGAATAAATTTGACAGAAATGGCCAGACATTCTCATCGACTGGATTGATTGGTCCGTCATGTGATTCACCCGAGAGGATTTCAGGATGACTTCTGCTCCATGACAGAGTGTGACCTGGATGACAGAAAGATATATATGTGATAGACAGTTTGTTAATTTCATGCAGACACCAAATGAATTTATTTCGCTAAGTTACATTCGCCAATTGCTTGGATTTGAATATTATTCACTATAACAGGTTGTCATATGAAATACGCTTCTGCGTATGATTTCTTGATACGGATATCAGTAATTCGGGTGCTAGATTATTGATATCACATTGGACATAATTTTAAAATAATAATTTTCCCTTCACGTTCCCAGTGGAATATAGGGCCTCAAGCTAGTGGCTTGAAGTTTCTGTAAAAGTGCTTATTTTACAGGATGGGGTTGCTAGCCTCATGCCCAACCTTTCCTCTTTACCAGAATTATTTCTGCCTCAGCTAGGTAAAGGAGTGTTGAGTACGTAACAATGTGATTGTACACTTTTTGGTTACTTGTATAAATTCGAGATATTGTACATAATTTTTGTTTAAAACGCTTCTTGTTGAAATATACATAACTTCCGTGTACAATTGAAAAATACACTCTGCTGTTGGAGACTTCGTCTTCTCCCTGGTCACTTCTGCTTACTTGCTCCACTCACACCGTGTTGTATACTTCGGATTTATTGTAGGAGCCTACTACTCTCAACCGAAGACATTTCTACAACCGGAACACAGCAGCTACAGCAGACGCAGTCCAAACAATTAACGTGCCCGTGGATTATATAATTAATTTGTAGCCGAGGACTTAGACTTTATATACAAGTAATCCTTTTTGTTGCTATAACTCGTCACTGTATTTTTGGTAATATATTGTGATTTAACACTCCACTGACTTGGATTATTACTTTTATATTTGGAATGTTAGTGAACTCTAATATTAGTCCCCTACAAATTAATTGGTGAGCCCGATAAGAACACGGATTATTT